TGAATTGTTATTCCAGCAGAAATATGACAAAAATTTTAAAAACTTGATGTAAACAGTTTACTGAGAAACTGTTGGTGGGTAAAAAAAAAAAAGTCTATGAAATTACATTTGAGCAAACCTATGAGACTGGAATTGCTATAAGATGGCAGCACAGTAGTCCCTCGCTACTTCGCGGTTCGACTTCCGTTTACTCGCTATATTGTGGTTTGTCAACGCACATTAACATATTTTTAAAAATAAAATTGTACAGGACACACGATTGTCGACTTTAATATGACTCATGTGATTGGGAAAGTACTGGATACCAGTACAGTAAAAGGTTAACGAAAAAACAAAATACTTCAGACAGGTGCCGCCATTTTGTAGTTTTCTCTAAACAAGCTTACACTGTATTCCCACTCATAATGACTACATTTCCCAGAAGTCAGCAGTGCCCTTTCCAGAAGTACCATTTTTTTTTCTGCTGTAGAAGGAAAGTTTTGATCGGATGGGAAAAAGTTTGGCACTTATTACGGTGATTTAGGTGCACAGTGGATGGAGAGCCACATGGTACCCACCGAACTGGACCAAAACTGGAGTAGAACCGGAGTAGAACCAGACCTCCAGACCACAGGTGAATCTTGAGAGCTGGTAGCCAGCCCACAGACCTCTGAGCGGGGAAACTCTGGTAAGTAAAATTTAGTATCTACATACAAGTATGTTGTTAAAATTAGTAGATTTAAGAGTTTAGAACATTGAATGTGAGCTTCATTGATGCAGGGTACGTCTGCAGAAATGGAATCAAGTCGGACCGGAACCAAGAGCTGCTCCTGTTCTGCAGAGCCGTAAGTTTAGTAGCTACATATACAGTACTGTATGCATGATGTAAAAATGACGTAGGTTTAAGAGTTTAAAAATTGCAAGAGTGAGAAGGGTTTATAAACCCTAAATATAAATATTAAAACAAATATAACGCTGCTACTTTGTGGATTTTTATTTATTGCCGGGTGGGGGGGTGGGGGGGTGGGGGGTGTTTGCAACCTAATGCCCACAATAAACAAGGGACTACTGCAATCCATTTTGGTCCTGGTTCCTTCAGTTAAATTGTCAGCCCAGTCAGAGCAACACGAGATTGAGATTGTTCAAAGAGCTATCTACAACAGGTAAGATACTAACTGTACATAACTTTTTCACAGAACCTCACTTTAAAATCTGAATTAATAAAATGAACATTTTAAGGCTAGATCAAACCGGAGAACTGACAGACTGCAACTATATACTGTTTAGTAACATATGCTATCAGGTCTCTCCTGTAAATGAATCCCTGAGGCTCAATGGGATTAACCTGTATAAATAAAGGTTGAATGAATGAATGCTAGTGGTGTAAACAAACATATTGTTCAAACAGTAATAAAGTGTTTCAAAAGACAAAATCTATTTAGACTAATCACTTTTAAAAATTAGTACTATTTTGGTGTAACCAAAAAAAACACAGTTTATGTACTGATTTGTACCGCTGCAGCAAAGCTAACGTGCCATTATCAAAAACTGAACAAAGTTTATGACAAAAATTAACATTATGAAACTGAGACCTTACCTTCTTATTGAAAGCCCAGATCTTGTCCCACTCCATGTTGACCACAGATCTCGATCCACCCTGAGACAAAAAATTATAAAAAAATGTGTTCAAGTCAACGGTACAAACAGTGAGACATTCTGTTAAAAACAGACTACAGCATTTTTTTTTTTATAAATGTTAAACATTTCTCTGCAGATAATTAAAGCAAGCTCATTGTTAAATAAAAACACAAACAGTTCTTTCAGACTCATCGTCATTCTGCCTCAAGTGGAGGAGTTCAAGTGTCTCAGGGTTCTGTTCACGAGCAAGGGTAAAAGTTCAGTTAGAAACTCGGAGTAGAACCGCTGTTCCTCCACATCGAGAGGAGCCAGTTGAGGTGGTTCAGGCATTTGGTAAGGATGCCCCCTGGGCACCTCGCTAGAGAGGTGCTTCGGGCATGTCCAACTGGGAGGAGACCCCGAGGAAGACCCAGGACACGCTAGCGAGATTACGTGTCTCGGTTGGCCTGAGAACGCCTTGGAGTCCTCCCAGAAGAACTGGAAGAGGTGGCTCTGGAAAGAGCTGTGTGGGCCTCCCTGCTCATGCTGCTGCCCCCGCGACCCGACTTTGGAACAAGTGGACATAATGGATGTAGTACTTTCAGACAAGACAACTTTCCTATGATCTGGATAAATCTGATGTGGTAAACATACTCCTATTATGGTCGTGTAACGCACCTGAGCCGCTATAAATTGCTTCAGACCCTCCACAGTCATTCCTCTCCTCAGGACACCTCTGACAGTAGGGAAGCGAGGGTCATCCCTAGAAAATAGGATGGTCAAAGAGAAATATGGATAGTAAAGAACAACAAAACACATCTACATATTACACCAGATTAGCCCACATAAACCTACCAGCCATCAACGTATCCCTGATCAACGAACCAGGTGAGCTTCCTTTTTGACAACACTGTGTTGTTGAGGTTGAGTCTGGCATACTCCCAGATGTGGGGCTTTCTGAGACCCAGAGCATTGATTATCCAGTAGAACTGATCGTCACGATCATGGTACTCGGTGGTCCTAAGAGCATGGGTAACGCCCTCCAAGCTGTCCACAATGGGGCAGGCAAAATCGTATGTAGGGTAGACACTAGAATGAAGATTACAAATGAGCAATATTTAAATTATTTTAGTGACAACTAAAAACTGCAACAATGCATTTATTTCTAACCCTAAAGAGCACCACTCCATTTGCTTTGGATGGATATAAATAACTTGGACAAGCTCATCCAGAACACAACACTGCCACCACCATGCTTCTCTGTGGGATTTATATTATTAAACCTCTTAACAGCGTTTGAAGTTCTACCTAAAAAACTTGAAAGTCTAGCGGACTACCTATTAAAACCTAAAGCTCCTTTAAAATAGTTTTAAAAAAAGCTTGATTGATATAGTAAGATTCTTAGGGGCTCTAAACACCAGCTTAAACTTAAGATTAATGTACATTGTTGCCCCTTCTTGTGCGGGTTTTATTCCAGGTACTTCAGTTTTCTAGTAACCTTCCTGGTAACGTTAAATTGTCCCTAGGTGTGACCGTGTGAGTGATTATTTGTCTCAATGTGTCCCTGTGATGGACTTTCGACAGGGTTTACCCCGTCTCTCGCTCAATGACTACTAAAGATCGGTACCAGCTCCCTGTGACTCAGAAAAATAAAAGCGGGTAACCAAAATAAATGGATGGATGAATCATGTAATTTTTTAATAATGTGCAGTAGGGGTGCAACGATAAATCGGCTGTGGCCTCGATTTCCTTAATTTTGGGGAATCGGCCAATACTTGCACGAGAAACCTATTTTACCAATTTTTTTTTGTTTTAACAACAACTGTCTAAACTTCATTTGTATTTCAGAGCACTACCTCGTGGCCAGATAAAACAAGGTTGTATTGTTTCTGGGATATTGTTCAAGGGTATGTTTTTCAATAAAATAATATTGGAAAAATGAAGGTACATTGTGACCTCATAACACCTGATGGTGTTGCATAGAAAACAAAATCGGTATCGGCCAAAATCGGAATCAACGGGTCAGACTTTTTAGAAATTGGTGATCGGCCATAAAACTGCAATCGGTGCACCCCTATTGTGCAGCCCTAATAAACTTTTTTTTTTATCGATGTATTTCCTCCTTTTGTTTAACATTCAGTTTAGCAACAAGGTTTTCAACGTCAAGACAAGTAAAAGTCTCATTAATAAGGATGGTGATGGATGTTCTTACAACAAGATCACAGAAGGTTCCTTCAGGGAACAATCCAGATTGATATCTTGATTAGTTCTCAAAATAGTTACTTGGATACAAAACCTCCCAACTCAGCCCACATCTAAACAACGTACACTTCTCTGAAATGTATTTTGGCTCAATCAGAGCAAATTTTAATTTAAAATCAGTTATGGGATTGCCTTAGAGAAGTCTGAGGTCTAAAAATCTTTTCAAAGGATTTCACTGTACTTGTAAGAGTCTCCAGTGCGAGGGTGGGGGGTTGTCTTGCAGCGGTACAGGGTGGGGTCTCTCATGCAGCCGTTGTTAGAATTCATGTCGATCTTTGCTCTCATACAGCAGGTCTGACCTTTCTTTGACCCGGCTTTCATCTCGGACCACATCTTCATGTTCTGCTCCACAGCTACAAAAGAATAAACGAGAACGTTTGTGTTCGTGTTTTCGTAGAGCTTCATTTTTCACAGATTTATAATTGTGGCTTTCCACAAGCATACTGTTGTTTCGGCATTTAGACTCTATGCGCTGCTCCCTCTCCTGCTTCATCTGCTCAGGAGGGGTGTCGTCGATGTAGGCTTTGCCCTCAGTCAGCAGCTGCTCGGCCAGTCGCATGATGGTGAGGAAATGGTCGCTGGTGTACGTAAACTGGTCAGGTTGGATCTGGAGCATAGCAACATCTTCCAGGATCACCTGAGGTGAAATAAGTATATGTTAGCAGCTTTTCTACTATTTTCTCTCTTTCCATCTGATCAACGCAACTCTATTATCGTGAATAACTGGAGGTTAAGATAATATAAAGAGTTTACAATGTTTTAAATGTTCTGTGATACCAGACCTTTTCAAAGTCTTCCTTCTCCTTCTCAGGGTTGGTGTCATCAAAGCGCATGATGAGCTTGCCTTTAAATGTGACCTGGTAGTACTGGTTGAGCAAGGCAGCTTTTGCATGGCCTATGTGAAGATATCTGCTCACAGAGAATCATTGACACAGTCTCAATTAAAAAAATGTGATCAACTCCCTTACCAACATTTTGAAAAACCTCAGCCTTACCCACTGGCCTCAGGGGGGAATCGAACCACCACCTTGCCCATCTCAGCTCCTGGCAATTCCACAAACTTTCCAACATCCTGCTTTTTCTCATTTGACTGAAACACAGAAAGTAATGGTAACATTTCTTAATTTCCTCTGACAGGAGGTTTAACTTTTATTATCACAGCACGACCAGTATACTGGTCACAAACAATAATCATGACAAAAAAATCATTTTTGTTTTGTTTTTGATTTCTCACCAGGAACACAGGAGGGTGTAGACAATATGTAAACATCTAGAAACCTTCGTACACATCTTGTTTTCTTAAATGAATCAATGTAAGTGTTTGCTGAGTGCACGTAAAACTGAAATAATACTTACCGGTACACTGGATTTATTCACTGGAGCTTTCTTACTGGTGTATTTATTGCCCACAGCAGAGAAAGGAACCTGTGAGTTCAAGAAAAAGAACCAGCGGCTGACGTGAGGAAAAGTTTTGTCCTGGGCTGGCCAATCAACATGACCTGCAGAGAAAAGAAATACACCGTATTTACTGCCAAGACTCACATGTAAAACTAAAACCTCTTAAACTAAAAGAATACTTAAATAAGAAAGGTGAATAACTGAATGAGACTTACTCTTGAGAGCAGCCCAGACAGACAAATCAGCCAGGGTGATAGCATGTCCGACTAGGAATGTGCGCAGGGACAGGGCCCGGTCCAACTCATTCAGCGCTCCTGACAGATCAGGCTGATCACAAAGGTGCCGAGCGCTGAACTCCAGCCAGTGGTCCACCTGAACATGTTTGAAAAGATTAAATTAAATCTGGGATTCAAACTGACTAGATCTCAAGGAAGCAGAAAAATGCACACCTCAGTCTGCTCCATCATGTTGGTTCCGTACAGGCCAAGGGCAGGAGCAACCCGGGCCAGGTAACGGCTGATGGAGTTTGCATCATTGAACTGGATTGAACTGATGAAAGGAAACAAATAACGTGACTTTCTGCATATAAATGTGATACAGAAGGTCTTAGGTAAAAACCCTAAAAAAAAAACAGAGGAAAATATACCACTTACTATCCTGATGAATGCTCAATAATCCAGGTAGATAAATCTAAAAATGGTTAAGTCAGGTTCTCTGAACAGATTTTTCTTTGTTGAAGCGTTTTGTCTTTAATCCAAAAAAGACTTCTTCAGTCTGAGGAGCTGCAACAAACTCAGTCTTATAAATAGCACCTTCTCATAGTGGATCAACCAGTTCGTTGCTGACATCCAAAACTAGCTGTTCACATGATAAAGGAGGACCATCAGCCTAATGGTTGTTAGTGCCCTGATGGCCACTTGTTATTCACAGAAGGTCGAGTGATACTAGCAATAACAGCATTGTAAGGGGGACAGTTGAACAAGGAGGCCTCTGCCCCCATTTAATGATGCCCAACGGGTTCTTTTCACAAAGATGGCTTCCTTTACTCCTCTCTCAAACCATCGTTCCTCTCTGTCCAGGATGTGAACATCTTCATCCCTGAAAGAGTGACCGCTGGCCTGGAGATGAGTGTAGACCGCAGAGTCCTGGCCTGATGATGTTGATCTTCTGTGCTGGGCCATCCTTTTGGCCAGTGGCTGTTTTGTTTCCCCGATGTAAGACTGATCACAGCCCTCCTGACACTGAACAGCATACACAACATTGCTCTGTTTGTGCCGGGGGACTGGATCTTTGGGATGAACCAGTCTTTGCTGTAATGTATTTTGGAGTTTGTAAGCCATTGAGACGTTACGTTTAGAAAATAAACGTCTCAGTTTCTCTGATACTCCCTCAACATATGGAATGACCACTGGTCTGGGTCTGGGTTCCTCCTTTTCACCTGATGGCTGACTGGAGTCCTGTTTGGGTTTCTTCTCTGCTTTCAGGAAGGCCCAGTTAGGATATCCACATTGCTCTAGAGCCTGTTTTGTGTAGGATTTCTCCTTCTGCCTGGCTCTTGAGTTAGTGGGGACGCTGTCTGCTCTGTGGTACAGAGTCCTGATTAGGGCTGAACAATTTAGGAAAATATTAAAATTGCGATTTTTTATTTATTTTTTACCTCAATATTGTGATTTAATATACAATTATTTTTCAATGTCTTCTTCTCATGTATTTTTCACCCAACACAAGCAATAAATGGATGTAACTGGGACCCTGTGTACATAATTTCGTCCCACCACATGTACCACATGTTCTGCGAACGACAATAAAGGATCTCTGACTCTTGATAAATCAATCTGTTTCAGTTGCAAAAAACTCCACAGTTTTCAGCTCCGCTGCAACTGTTTCTGCATTTTTTGTACAACTCTGGGGTAACGACTTGGATAAAAAGTGTGCACGAGGGAATTCTGTACCACTTATCTACTGTGATCACCAAAGTCATAAACCCAGGCTTGGTCACTATATTAATGGGCATCATGTCTTTCGCTTTAAACTCCATTATTGCTCGAGTTATTTCCACGTGCCGTTTTGAATTGTGTTCATATGGAGTAATATCTTTGAACAGTTCGGTCAGTGATCCCTGTCAGCTGATCCTTGCTTGCTCGAAGTTGAAACAATAGTCGTTGGCATTCTAGCTATGCAACTATCGTAAATGATTTTGTGTGTGTGTGTGTGGGTGGGTGGGTTTAAGTGTTGATAAAGATTTGTGGTGTTACCTCGAAAGGTAGCAACACATGTCGTTGCGCAGCATCTTCTTTTTTATAGTGAAAATAATTCTAAACAATGGACGTGCTGCTCCTCTTTGGTACCAAACTTTCAGATGTATCAGCTTCTGTCGAGCCTGACGCCATTGTGCAACTGGTTAAAGCGCAGTGTTGACTTCTCCCCCTCCTTGCTTTGCTCACTCACAAGTCACATAACCAGATCATGTGACCAGTCAAATTGCAGCCTTTGCGATTAGAAAATCTAATTTTTATCACATTACGATATTATTGCAAATGCAATAAATATTTTAACCCTAGTCCTGATGGCTCCTAACTTGTGCTCCAGAGGGTGATGGGAGTCAAACTGCAAATACTGGTCTGTGTGGGTGGATTTGTGGTACACCTCAGTTTGCAAATGTCCTCTATCAGAGACTGAGACCTCACAGTCCAAGAAATCCAGCCTGACATTTTTTACATGTTCTCGTGTGAACTTGATGAATTTATCCACAGAGTTGATGTGGTCAGTAAAATGTTGTTCCTGAGATTTAATTTTAACCCAGGTGTCGTCAACATACCTGAACCAATGACTTGGTGGTGTCCCTGAAAAGGACGTCAAGGCTCTCTTTTCTACCTCCTCCATGTACAGGTTGGCAACAATAGGAGAAACTGGAGACCCCATAGCACACCCATGTTTCTGCCTATAATATTGCTCCCCATATGTGAAGTAGGTTGACTGCAGGCACAGTTTCAAGAGTTGACACAGTTGTTCTGTGGAAAGCGTGGTCCTGCTGCTCAGAGTGGTGTCTGATTTTAATCTTAAACTGACCACCTCTACTGCATCATCAACAGGAATGCACGTAAAGAGTGATGTGACATCAAAAGAGACTATTGTTTCATCAGTCTCCATGATGACATCCCTCACCTTATCCACAAAGTCCATGGTGTTCTGTATGTGGTGTTATGAGCTGCCAACTAAAGGGATGAGTACAGACGCCAGATATTTGGAAACATTGTAAGTGACAGAGTTAATCATGCTAACAATTGGTCTTAAAGGTACACCTTGTTTGTGGATTTTAGGTAAACCATACAGACTAGGTGTGGCCTCCCCTGGGTACAGTCTGTGGTACAGAAAACAGTCGATAGCCTTGTCCTGCTCCAAATTTCAGGCACTCTATCAGCATCTTCTTGTAACCCAGGTCCAGAGGACCTGACTTAACACTGTTGGATTTTTCTACCTGGATTATTGAGCATGAATAAGGATGTTTCTTCTTCTTACCACTTCCTGGATCTCTTTTCAGCGGGTCATAAGTGGTTAAGTCACTAAGGAGTGTCATAACTTTCTGATGATAGTCTTTCTGGTTCAGAATCACTGTGCACCTTCCTTTGTCTGCTGGGAGGATGATGATGTTCTTCTCCTTGCTGAAAGTAGTGAGTGCATCCCTCTCCTCTCTACTGATGTTGGAAGGTGGTGGTTTGGCATTGCTGTGACAGGCGGAAATTTTGTTCCTAAATTGTTCTGCTTCAAACTTGTTCAACAGGGGTGGAGGCCTCCATGTTCAACTGTCACACTCTTACAATGAGATTATTGCAAGTATCACTCAGCCCGCTACCGAACTGCGTGCAGCACCCCTGCACTACCTAAAAAGCTAAAGACAGCCTTTTCCCTCACACTGACACCCCCCCCCCCAAACACACACGAAAAATGTCAGTACAAAGAGCCCGCGGCTCAGATGCCCCCCCCCCCCCCCACACACACACACACACACACACAAACACTCTAAAACTGTCAGAGCAAACAGCATGCGGCTGTGTTTCTGTCCCCCCTGTCAGTATAGACAGCGTGGTGCGCTGCTCATGCAGTGTCTCTGTCCATCTCCCCCCCCACTTCTAAAAAGAAAATCACAGACGAGATGAGTGCCCCTCTATGGCAAGTTATCTAGGGGAAACACTGGACAATTTTGCTAGGCTGATGGTCCTCCTTTGGTATGTGAACAGCTGGTTTTGGCTGTCACCAGAAAACTGGTTGATCCACTATGAGAAGGTGATATTTATAAGACGGAGTTTATTGCAGCTCCTCAGACTGAAGAAGATTTTTGGATAAAAGACGAAACGTTTCAACAAAGAAGAATGCGTCCAGGTGACCTGACAACCTTTTTTAGATACTACTTACTCCGAGATGTGAAGCTTGGTGTCTTTGCCTTCTTCCACAGATACCTGCACACTGCTCTTCACATGCTCTGCAGCAAGAAGTGCACCTGCAGGTTCAAGGAAAGTGTTTCTATAAATTACAATTTCGCAGAACATAACTCTGATTAAACACGACTGAAAAACAGCTTGCGTGATGAGTACCATAGTAACTTCAAAAACTAAGAACAAAATACGGTAATATAAGTCCAAAAACATTAATCTTGGGCTGCCTTCAGGCGAAGGCCCCCTCCCCCCAAAAATATCTGTGATCTCAATAGGATTTGCAGGGTTAAAAAATGTTAATATTAATAATTTTTGGCCAGTTTCAGTGGCTTTCAACATGTTAAAACATACGCTTTGTCCTTTAAGGCTTGTTGCTAGTGGGCTAAACTGGGCAGGATGTAGTCTGCCTCACTCAGTTTGTTCAGTACCACAATCACATAGATATCTTCTTACACTACTCTGAAAACAGTCTAAATTTAGTCTTCATGTTATACTGTATGTAGTTACGCAAAACAAGTTTGTCTTCAACTAGTAACCTAGCTGACATAAAATCAGGGCCCAAATTGCAAAAATGCAACATCTGGGTTCCTTCTGCTCAGAAAACTGCACTTCATTTAACAAGATTATGAGACAGCCATCATCCATTTGTCTTTAAATCAGGTACCTCATAGTTTCCATATTGTGCCTCTCATGCAATCAATCAGTATACTTTATCTTACAGAATCAGACAGCTGGGGATGAACTTTTCATTGGTTCATCTTTACAGAGCAGATGTTTAGTTTTGAAGTTGCCTAAAAGCCTATTACACTTTCCAGTAAGCAGCAGTGTGGAAAAGAAACCAGAGTAAAAATGTGCATATTCTCTATGCAATAGGCTCTGTGCACATGCGTCCTGAATCACTTCCCCTTTGACCGGATGTCGGCATTCCAGTTTCCGGTCTAATCCCCGGTCTCGGTGAAAATGGCGTTTTCTAGATGTTTACAAGAGCTGCCCAAGATAAATATCAGCGATGTTCATCGTATTGTTGATGGCTGGTCCCCTGCTCCGACAAGCAAACGTAACAAGGGATTTAAATTGTATATCTCAAGTTACCTGCACAACTACGAGGGTAAGTAACGTTAGTTTGATCGTTGTGATGTTGCTAACTGTTTGCAGCTAACGTTAGGCTATTAGCAACACGACCATTTTTGTGTATACTCACGTTATAGAAACAGGTTTTCCACACTTAAACAAAAGGCTCATATTTTGTGATCATTCTACTAACATTCTGCTCTTCTCAGTTTCTAGCAAAAATCAGGACACAGGTGAAGTCGTTGTCAGGGCTCTGTGTCACAGGTCCATGAAGAAAAATGAAAAACCTCACAGTTTAAGTGTAGGGTGAAGATAGGATTGTTCAGATGACAGTTTTAAGATTGTTGGTTCAGTAACCCGACGTTCCTAATGTTAATGGGGATTTAGCTAAGGTGGTAATTAATTCTTAAATAAAAATAAAATGGAATTGGCTATTTGATGAATATTAACACGTGAGTTTGGCCTTGCTTGTCCCCATTTGGTTATTTGCTGCATGCATTGTTCTTCTTTTATGGTTGTTATGTGTTACTTTTAACCCAGTGTTAATTTGGTAATTCATGCATATTAGTTTTACTTAAATCTAAAGAATACACTCACAGTCTCTGTAACATTATCCAGGTATTTTTACCTAGCGGGTCTCCTCTGGGTTAAAAGTGTTTTGAAATCAAGTTATCTTTATCTCATCCATTCATTTAAGATGTAATCTTGTGATAATTGTATTACACTACTCTTGACCTTCATAGAACATACTCCAAACTAAATATATAATCACATAACATGATACTATGGTTCTATGACATTAGTTATAAAAAAATATTTGGGAAGCAAGATTGCATCATGAAAGAATGGCTGATGAGTGACCAAGCTAAGATAATAAGTTCTTACTATGACATTCTTATGCAGGTGGTCCTGAAAGACTCGTGTCCTGTGGAGCTGATTCACCACAGCTGTACGTGTGTTGCTGGTGCAGCATTATGCAACCACTGTGTGGCTTTGCTGTTCCAGTCAGCACATTATTCTGAGCTGAAACTGTCAGTGGTCCCCCCTGTACTAAGCTGTACAGAAGGAGAACAGCAGTGGCACAAGCCCAGAACTTTAGTAAGTTTTCTCTTCAATAATAGACTCAATTTATTACATTTTCTTGCCGTATAACTTGTAACTGTGTCATGGATAACTGAATAGGGTATAAAACCTGGCCCCGTGGACAAGATGACTGTGCTGTCTGCTAAACCGAAGAGTGGAGCAACAACAGAGGGTGTAAGGTAAAAAAAAATCAATAAAAATTCTGATGTATTACAACAGTGTTTCTCAACCCTGGTCCTCAAGGCACACTGCTCTGCATGCTTTATAGATTTCCCTGCATTAACACAGCTGATACAGTTGTTAATCAGTTACCAACTGAAATGAGCTGTGTTTAAGCAGGGACAAATCTCAAACATGCAGGACAGTGTGCCTTGAGGACCAGGCTTGAAAAACACTATTATTTTATGTTTCATATCTGAACGAAATGCATGTGGGTATTCTATTTTTGACTCATGTTCTTTTCTTATTTTTATACACAGGAGCACACTCTACAAAGGCCTTAGTGGGGATTTGCCGGACCTTTCTGTCCTTAGAGTAAGTAGTTGTATTTAAATTACTGATAAATAAAAATGAAATTAACAGTAGGCTACAATGTACTAACAAAGAGTTGTAGACTTACCGGTGTATTGAATAATTTTATTTTCAAGTGCTGTCTCTTTGTAAAGTGTAGAATTTTTGAGGGCTTAAAATTAGTTGATATACATGTATTTTACATTTTATTGAAATAATTGTTTTCACTTTCCCAGGTTTCCGAGGTGTATGAAGATTTTGCAGCAGCTGATGCACCAATGATCTGCAGCATGGGAATCAGCCATGAATTTCCCCTTGTTGACTCTGCCCTTGGCAAAGTTCAGGCTGGAAGTCCTCTGTCCTACCAACAGCCAGCAACAGCAAAGAGAGACATGTCCTTCCATGCTGCACCACCCCGCCCATCTCTGCCTCTTAAGAACTACCACCTACAGCCATCAAAAAGCATGTTTGTTTGTTCTGAACCACAACAGCTACACCTTAAAAGTATGGAGGTCACCTGGGACATGGTGAATAAATTTGAATGTGCTACCAGAGCACAGAGTACATGTCCTGAATGGCATCAGCTAAGGAGGCATAGGTTGACTGCCTCCCGCTTCAGGGAGATCTGCCAGGTTCAAGATAAATCTGAGGAAGATCTGGCAAATCGTCTGCTGCAAGGGACCTATCAGACTGCAGCTATGAAGAGAGGGCTTGAATTAGAGGCAGATGCTATCTGGGAATATTGTCAAATTAAAAGAGTCAACCACTATCCCTGTGGATTTGTGATTCACCCTGATGCTCCTTGGCTAGGGGCATCTCCAGACGGATTGATCTTTGATCCTTCTGAGCCATGTCAGTTCGGGCTGATTGAGATTAAGTGTCCAAATGTGAAAAGTTATGTTGACTGTCCATATCTCCAAATGAAGTCAGGCAAATTGGAACTAAAAAAAACTCATGTTTACTATTGGCAGGTTCAGGGGCAGATGCTAATAACTGGGATGAACTGGTGTGATTTTGTTGTCTCAGCTGAGGAAGATATTCTTATTCAAAGAATTTATGCAGACACTAATGTGATGGATTCAATCAAACACAAAGTAGACAGATATTTTTTCTATGTTTACCTGCAGAAATGTCTAAATTAGGAGTTTGATCAAATCAAATGTACAAATTTGTTTCAAAATATTTCCATCATGAATATCTATTTACAAATGTAAGACAATGTCAATGTAAGTAAATGACAGCATTTTCTGTTTCTTCAAGACTGTGCCATCAGCTTTTCTGTCAAACTTCATATCTCCATTTCCTGACCAAAGGTCCATTTTGGTAATTTGACAGGAGACAGGCAACTGTAAAAATTTGGTTTATGCTTCCTGCAATGGAGAGAGGGATAGTGGAATCAAAGAGTTTATTTTCTTTAACTCTTCTTATTAACCTCTCAACATGCACCCTCAAACGGGCAATGGACTGGGTCTTCAAAACGTCGACCTCTGACATTTGGGCCCTCTTGGAGAGGAAGGCAGGACGATGAACAGTCCCAGGTACGAGATCATCCACCAAGAATCCCTTGTCCACCATGATGGCCATGTCCAGTGTCAAGAGTGATGTAATCCCTGATTGACGGAACACTTCCTTGTCACTCATGGAACCCTCAAACAGTGCTGACACAAATGTCAGGGCTCCGTGAGGAGACATGCCCACCATGGCCTTAAAGGTACAGTGGGATTTGTAGGTGGAGAAGACTTCACTCTGGAGGAGCAGGGATGAAGGTGTTTGACACCGTAGTTCTGTACAGTCCAGGATAACTTGTGTGTCACTGTAGCGGCCATCAAAATCCTGTGGAAGACTGGAACTCACAGCTGCAGGAGACATCCACACACAAATTGAGCCCAATAAGCAGTACAGGAAGTTGGCCCATGTCACAATAATGCGGCTGACTGTTGCTCTGTGGATGTTAAATCGATGGCCCAGTTCCCTCTGGGTACATCCAGTAGACAGGTAGGAGAGGAAAAGAAAAAGCTCATCTATTGGCAGCAGTTTCTGGACAGAAAATTATTTAAATGTTAGTTCAAAACCAGCATTCTCATTGTGTGTGTGTGTGTGTGTGTGTGTGTGTGTGTAACTTACAGTTGGTCTGGTAAAAGGGGTTTCAGTTGTTGTACTCATGACGTCGGTTTTCTTTGCTCTGGTGACCCTGACCATTTTGGCTGTTGCTGCCTCGATCAAGTTCCAAAACGCCTTCAGATGCTCATATGAGGGGAACCTAAAACACATAAAAAAAAAAATATATATATATATATATATATATATATATAAACTGTCACTCTCCACATTTATAACTGTGAAAACAGTTTTCAAATTTTGACACGGTACAACTAAGAACATAAATATCTTTCTTTGAAATTTTATGTTGTAAAGTGGAAAGAAAATTATACATGATTTGAAGGTTTGTAATTTTTTTATAAATTGAAAACTATTTTGAGCACAAATGTTCAGCCCCCTTAAATCAGAGAGTAACTTCTAGTCTTCATAAGTTTCCTGATGATTGCTAATGGCATAATAGTCAGCCTGTGTGTCATCTAATCACAGAAACCAACTATTTTCACCGACCTGAGGCTGTCACTAGCTGCTGTATTTGTATTTGACATTAGTTTACACACGGGTGGACTCCATAGCCATTTGTAATCATTAAAGCTATTTCTGAAGGAATATTGGTTACAGAAAAGGGAGCCGATTACTCTTACACACCACACTTTTCAGTATCATTTGTAAATACAGTACTACTAGTACTAGTACTACTACTACTACTAATAATAATAATAATAATAATAATAATAATAATAATAATAATAATGTGTTACATTATGTATAATTTCATTTCCACTAGTAAGTGTGTACTTGTGTTGGTCTCTCAAAGAACATTACAATGAAATTGTTTTTGGTTGTAATGTGACAAAATATACAATGACTCAAAGCGTATTAATTTTTTTCAGAGGCATAACGTAATATTTAGATTTTACAACTCTGACCTGGTGTAAAATCTGATGTCTTCTGGTGACGTAGAAAAACGTTCCAGTCCAAACGGCTTTTGAAGACTACAGGATCGGAGCTGCTCTTTCAGTTGCTCAATTTCTCTCAGCATGCTGTGATATTGCTCCCGGTCAACACACACGGTTCTGCTGGCGCCGTAGTCATGGTCCACGACCATAGGTACCATGACGGGTGGTTCATTGTCCTCAATTGGATCCGCCGAATCAGGTTCTGGATTAGATGGTCGACAACGGCGCTCCCAAACACCTGCTCGTGTCTTCCTGCTGTATTTGTTCCACTCAAATAATGATGGAACCGACCCAGCTGCTAAAATTCGTCTTCCCTTTTCTGTAGTAATTACTTCATTCTCCAGGAAATGTCGGCTACATACCTTGGTGTGAGGAGTTACCGTAAATCCCTCTCTTCTGATTTTTTGCAGCCAGCACAAACGAAGGCTTGTCTCCTTAGGGAAACGGTGAAAGCTCAAACGGCTATTATAGCGACCTGAAGACGAGCAAAGCGGCACACAACAGTGCTCCTTAGACCCAAACACCGTCGGCTGAAATCTAAAGCTGCCACGCACGTTATATTTTTGTTTATTTGACGCAGCAACACTCATTTTAGTTGTTTATCTCTGGGATGACAGGATACAGGAATTAAACCGGAAACTGGAATGCCGACATCCGGTCAAAGCGGAAGTGATTCAGGACGCATGTGCACAGAGCCTATTAGCAATCCACGTTTCAAAAGGCTTGCATCAGCCTGCAGTGCTCGCTGCGACCACAAGAGGACGCTGTGAGAGCTACTTTTAAGGCTAATAACTAGCTTAATCACGAACAAAACTTTGGATCAGCATTCACTGGGAAAAGAGTGATACAAAATATTGAATATAACCAATTAACGTAGCAATGCGACAGCATGTACGACCTTTAAGAACATAAAAAATTACATATATATATCAACCAGGAGCTGCCAAACTTTATCCCTGTGATCATTGTGCCAATGTTCAGTTCAAGAAGACTACTCGTGTTAATCCCACGGCGAAATACGCAACGTGATTGCAATTTTTCATGAGGGAATATTAAGAAACTGTACACGTGTTGTGTGTTGAGTGCCACGACTAGAAGCAGCCGAGAATTAATAATTTTAAGTTATTTAATGCCGCAAATATTCGGAATTACATGAACGAAATGATACAACCGGTTTGAATTGTACAAAATAAAATAACTAGTAAAACCTTTTTATTTATTTATTTTTACTTTTCAGTGGTTTTGTGTCAGTCCAAATAAAAATAAAATAATGCTGGATGCGGTATGTATCAATTTAAGGAGTAAGTAAGTGGATTTTGCACCAATCAACCAAGAACCAGAGCTATTTTTCCTGCTTGTTTGGAAGACACGTAGCCATTGCTAGCTGTCGTGCTGTCACTCTGGCGCGTGCAAGCATCACGCCGGTCTCCACGAAGAAGTCATTTATTCGGACAAAAAATAAAACTCACCCAGAGGAGGGCTGTTTGTGTTAATGGTAAGATTCAACTCCATGCCGCAGGATCCTCTTTTACACGGGTTGTAGAATCGTTTCACTAACAAATAGTGAAGAAGGAAAAAAACATCAAAGGACTCTCACTACCACCGCACCAGCCGCTATATCTTCTTCTACGTTTTCTTCTCGGCAGGCTACAGGCAGTGTTTGCTTATTCCTGCCCTCCGCAGATCAGAATGAGAACTGCAGACAGGCTGGAGTTTTATCTATTTTTATGCTTTTGTATGGATTTTTTTTCGTACTTATTTCATAATGATTAATTTATTTGTTTAATTTTGAGCATTTTGGTGTTCATACACTGGGTTTGTTCAGTACCACAATCACACCAACATCTCCTTAAACTAGGCGGAACTAAATATTCTATCGGAACTAAATGACGCCAGTTTTGTTTGAGGTCGACTTGTTATGGACGAGACGTAACCGGATGGAAGTCAGCTGACTGCTAAGAATCCGCTTATTGAAGAAGCTTACGCCGTTCAGTAATCGAAGTATTCGATAATTATTCCACATTTTGGTTTGATACTTTCAGAAACAGACATGATTAAAGCCATATTGATTTTTAACAACCACGGGAAGCCGCGGATGATCAGATTCTATCAGTATTTTGTAAGTATTTTTGCACGTTTCCCTGCTGTCTGATGAAAAAAGCTTGTGTTCAGAAACATGTTTTCACAAATGTTTTCCTGAAACTAACTTACACCTTCCCAATAACCCTGGTTATATTAACGGAGACTAACACAAGTTGTTCATATAAATAACTTTAGAAAATAGATCCGTACATGATGAAAGGTAGGAGACATTATTCAATTCAGTTATAGCGCCCAGTCACAACAGAAGTAATCTCAGCCAGAGCACTGAACAGAAACATACGTATTAAAAAAATAGGTTTATGAAAACATTCATAAAAATAATAACACTATTTATTTGAGGAGCAGACTGCTTTGAGTTTAACTCCATCACAAAAATCTCATCTTGAACAAGCATGAAGGCGACAGTGAAAAGGAAAAACTCCCTCATGAAGAAGAAACCTTTAGCAGATCCAGACTCAGGACAAGTGGCCATCTGCTTCGACTGGCTGGGTTTGAGAGGAATAGATACACAATGACAGGTGAAGAATCACATATTAAGATGGAAATAATATCAAATGGAAATGTGAACAATTTGGCCTCTAGTAGTCTAAGCTTAAGGCAGCATAACAAGCCAACCCAAACTATAGGATTTATCAAAAAGTAAAGTCTTCAGCCCAGTATTAAAACTGGACCATGTGTCAGCCTCACAGATAGAAACTGGAAGTTGGTTCCACAAGAGAGGAGCCTGATAACTGAAAGATCTTCCTTCCATTCTGCTTTTGGAAACTCTAGGAACCACAAGTAAACGTGCAGTCTGAGAGCAAAGTGCTCTGTTAGGAAAATATGGAACAATAAGATCTGGAATATAAAATGGAGCTAGGTTGTTGAGAGCTTTGTAGATTAGAAGTAAGATTTTTTAATTCAGTTCTGGATTTGACAGGGAGCCAATGGAGAGAAGCTAAAACTGGAGAGATTTGATCTCTCCTACTAACTCCAGTTAAGACTCTGGCAGCAGCATGTTGGATTAACTGAAGATGTTTTAAAGAAGTATTTGGACCCCCAGATAACAAACCATTGTAATAGTCTAGATGTAACAAATGCATAAACCAGTAGTTTTTCTGCATAATTTTTAGATGTTTCTAATTTTAGCGATATTACGCAGGTGAAAGAAGGCAGTTCTAGTAACATTTTTAAAACTAAGTTTGATAAGCTTTAAAAATGATGCAAAATAAGTAAAGATAAGTATTAAATAATACATTATTAAGTGATTAAACAACGATGCACATATTCATAACATAATAACCTCTTTACAGGGGCTCTTTTTGTTCCTTTTGCAACAAAACAGATAGGTTTTTTTTTTTTTTTTTGCATATTTTTTCTCATTAGCAGTGATTCTTAAAGATTTATTAGGTGAACTTCATTGACTACTGTACTACTAAAATACATATTGTATTATAGAAAGATAAGGCTAAGTAGGGTTCTCTTTTGTCTCTAAATCAGTCCAGATTCGTTGAGGCACACCACTAGAGTACTGAACATTTGTTCTATTTGGGAGAAACTTATTAGGAGCTAATATTTTTAAATTATTCATCATAAGGTCTTAATGTAAACTTTAAAGTGTTTTTAGTCCAATCACCAATATTAGTTTATAGGTGATTGGTATAGAACATACATCTCTCAAGTATTTGGTTACAGGCCACTTGGTGTCAGAGTTGTCCAACTTAAGTAGTTTAGTTCACAGCTCTTTATAACAGAACTTCACTGGAATGATTTCAGGTACACTGCCTGGCCAAAAAAAAGTTGCCACCTGGATTTAACTAAGCAAATAGGTATGAGCCTCCTATTGGATAATGACTGCATGGGTGATTATCTTTCAGCTGGCAACAAGTTACTTAACCCCAACTGGTGCAATGAGTTGCTTCTCATTTCTTAAACAACCATGTTGAAAGACACATCGTGTGGTCGTGGAAAAGATGTCAGTCTGTTTGAGAAGGGTCAAATCATTTGGTATGCATCAGAGAAAACATCTAAGGAGATTGAAGAAACTACTAAAATTGAGTTAAGAAATGTCCAACGCATTATTAAAACTGGAAGGATAGTGGAGACCCATTGTCTTCCAGGAAGAAATGTGGCCGGAAAAAAAATCCTGAATGATCGTGATCGGAGATCACGTAAATGTTTGGTGAAATCAAATCGAAGAAAAACAACAGCAGCTCTCAGGGCTATGTTTAATAGTGAAAGTAAGAGCATTTCTACACACACAATGTGAAGCGAACTCAAGGGATTGGGACTGAACAGCTGTGTAGCCTTAAAAAAAACACTAATCAGTGAGGCTAACTGGGGAAAAAAGCTTCAATTTGCTAGGGAGCATAAAGATTGGACTCTAGAGCAATGGAAGAAGGTCATGTGGTCTGATGAGTCCAGATTTATCCTGTTCCAGAGTGATGGGTGCATCAGGGTAAGAAGAGAGGCAGGTGAAGTGATGCACCCATCATGACTAGTGTCTAGTCATCAATGCAAGATCTTGGTGAACAATTAATGCAACACTGGATGGAAATAGATCTTGTGACATTGTAGAAGCTTATCGAAACAATGCCACAGTGAATGCACGATGTAATCAAAGATAAAGGCGGTCCAACAAAATATTAGTGTGTGACCTTTTTTTTTTTGGTGTCAACTTTCTTTTTGGCCAGGCAGTGTAATAGAGAGTAAAGATACCATGATTCTAAAATCCTCTGTCAATATGGCAACTTTAACATTAAAATTTGTCCGTTTTTTTTTTTTTCCACTGGTGTTTATTGTATTAGTTCAGTATTATTTTGTGAATAAATCAGCACTAAAGCTGCCTTCACCTGGTAACACAGATCAGCCAGTCAGATGGTTTACACGCAGATTTGTTAAGCATTTGGTTTGAAGCAGGCACATATGACATGTTCTTCCATCTGATGACATGAACTGTGTAGAGACTGAAAAATAAATGTGATTAAGTTGTATTTAATGAGAAAGGCGAACACATCCTAAGCTGTACAGCACTCAGTCTTATGTTCTTGCAGGCAGAGGACATGCAACAGCAGATAATTCGGGAGACTTTCCATTTGGTGTCTAAAAGAGATGACAATGTTTGTAACTTCTTGGAGGGTGGAAGGCAAGTAGTGTTTTAATTTGTTTTGTTTTATGTGGAAAAAAAAAACCAAGCACATACTTATTGCTACTAAGTGGGCACTATTTGGGGTGGGTTGTATTTTGACTCAACACAACCCCTTGATTGTGGGTTTATGGGTGATTTATGGAAAACTTCAAATATGATTTTGTGTCAATTTGCGTGTATTATTTTATGACTGTCAGCACTGAAGCTCTCAAACATCGCCTGGTGAACCAGCAGGTCACCGCTTCTGTACGCTTCTAACTTTAGATGGCAGCAAAACACAGAAGTCTGGTCCATTTCTCAACTTTACACCTCAATGAAAGTTTATTTTATCAAACCATGACTTTTATATATGTCGCCCTCCGCCTCCCTCCCGTCACCCCCCCGCCCCATGACCGTTTGCCGCGTCGTCTTCTTTCTGCCT